GGGCGTCCCGGAGCCGCTGCTGCCCCCGCTGCGCTCCGCTGGGCCCCGCCGCGGCTCCTCGGGCTCCGGGCTCGGCCGCGGGGGATTCCCTGCCAGTCGGATGGGCACAGGTGAGGCGAGTCTGCCACACCCACTTCGATCTCAGGGGCTGTCTGTGGGCGGGGTCTCAGGGACCGCCCCCGCCCCCAGCACCCCTAGAGCAAGGGCTGAGTTCTATCCCCTGGCTCCACTCTTCCCAAGTCCAGCTCCACCCTGCCCACCCACATCTCCGAAGATGGAGGTGCAAGGACAGCAGTGTCCTCTCGGCGGGAGCAAAGCCTGGCAGACAAGGCGAGCACCGGCTGTTCCGCCTGGAGCCCAGGAAGGTTGGGCGTCTGCGCCGCTGTGCGCATGCGCGTTTGTGGAAGGGCGTGGGGAGAATGCAAGACTCAGAGCCAGCCAGGGGTCCGGGTGGCTCTGGACAGGGAGCCGTGGTGGGCAACCACGTAGCTCCAGGGACAGGACTTGCCCCAGTGACTGTGCCAGTGCCCTGTGCTCCGCGCCTGCCTCCTTCCTGGGCTGGGCAGCCCTGGCCCTTCTGCCCACCCGCGCTGATGACAGTGGTAGCTTATATGGGGTGCACAGGTCAATGTGAAGGCACACAGCAGCCTGTGAGGCACGCATCCCCATTCCAGAGGTCAGGAAACTGAGGCTCTGAGAGAATAGTGCTTTGACAGAGGTCAGGGCTAGTTTTATAAAGCACGTGTATACGCCAGGCCCAGGCTGGACAACTTAGGGCATTATGTAGTCTGATCCTCACACTTCAGGGGTTTCCAGGCTCAGAGAGATTAAGGGCTTAGACTAAAGTTGCACAGCCAGTGAGAGGTGGAGCTGGCCTCACTCCAGGCAGTGGCACAGAGCCACGGCTCTTCCCAACTGGACTCTCCCCAGGATTTCAAGAAATCAGCACCCTCTCTGTGGGCCCAGGGTTGGCTTGACTCCATTCTAGACCACGCCGGGGTGGGGCTGGGGAACCTATCATTGAAGAGGAGGTAGGGGATCTAGGAGGGCCTCCCACAAGCCTCAATTTTGTTAGGTATCTTCTTGGCTCTAGAACCTACCCTGGCTCTCTACCGCCACGAGAAGAAAAGTCCAGGCTCCCCGGCCGGGCTCTCAAAGCCCTCCCTGGCCTCACCCTTTCTGCCTTTCCCTCCTCCTGGGCCAAGCATGGAGTATATCTGCCTGGGAGTGCAGCACTGGGCTGGATGTCAACCGGAAGACATCAAGGCTGGGAAAAGTGAGCTTCTACTATGAGCCAGGGCCTGGCCCGGAGTCCCTGCTCTCAGCCACACCCCTTGCCCAGTCTTTCTGCCCCTCGTCTCACACCCCCTTGGCCGCTGTGACTAGAGGGCCAAGGGGATTCTTCTAAAATTCAAACCTGCTACATTACGTCTGTTATTTCCAAGCAACATGATAAATTATGTCCCTACAAATCTATTCCACCTGTGGGGGAGCGCGAGCAGCTACCTGGGCCTGTTTCCTCAGTGGAAGGCCGCAGAAAGGCCTGTGTTGCCACGGCAACCTGAAGGCCTGTCAACACTAGATGCAGGTGCTCCCCAGAAGGCTCCCACTCTGAGCTTGTTCATGTCCCCCATTCCCTGAATCTAACATTGGTTCATGGTTCATGGGCTAGATCCATCTCCAGTGGTGGCAGGCTCCCCTCCTCATCTCCTCTCATCTCCCTCTACCCTCATCAGGTCCCCTCACTCCCCTTGCTCCTCAGGACTGCCTCCTCCAGAGACTCCCTCCATCTCTCTGGTGCCCACTACCCTCCCAACAGCAGGACACAGGGGCCTGTGGTAAAAGGCAGATTGTCACAAGGTCCAGACCCCCTGCCACCTCCCTGTCAGAGAGCATCCTCTCTTTACAGGAGAGAGAGCCGGAGACAGCGAGACACAGCACGTCGGAAATGGCAGCCCCGTACGAGAAGGGGCTCCAGTGCCCCTCCCGCCCCCCACCGGGCAGCCTGCAAGGCCCAACTCCACCAGCCCAACGGTCCTGGGATGCCCGACTGGGAGCACTCAGAGAAGGTGGGGTCCGAGTGCCCCAGGAGCTCACGCCTCCCATCCTTCCAGGGGTGGCCTGAGCCCATAGGTGGGCTGCCTGCTCCTAACCTGGCCACTGTCTCTGCTGAGGCCACTCGAGCGACTCTCCTTTTGGTCCCAAGGTCATGGGCTCTCGACTTTGGTAAGATGGAACTCTGCTTAAAAACTTCCCACCATTCCCAGGCTCTTCCTGAGCTGGCTCCTGCCTGCTTTTCCAGCTTTATTCACTCATTCATTCAATACACATCTGCTGAGCCATGTGCTGGGGCTGCAGGCCTGTTGCCCCCCTCCCATCTCAGGCCTGAGACCCACTAGCTCTCATCTCTCTCCCTCAGTTCGTCAGGTCCTCTTCCTGTGGCCTGGGGCCTGTTACACACCGTTCCCTCTGTCCAGCACACCCTTCCCACTTGGTCTTCAGTGATCTCTTATTCACATTCAATATCCAGTGACATATCACCTCCTCTGTGAGGCCTACCCAGAATGCCCCAAAGCTGTGCAGTTATCACTCCTGTTACGCTGTGTACAACCCTCATCCCCAGCTCTTACGAATCTCTACTGTGCTTATTTGTGAGTCTGCCTCCTCCACCAGACTAGGAGCTCCCTGAGGTCAGGTCAATGTCCTGCTCATGTCTGGGTCATAAAATGCATTTCACACGTGGTGAAAGACTCTATTCTTATAATCCTGGCAACGACCACATGAGGCAATCACTATTATCCCCATTTTACAGGTGAGGAAACTGATCATTTACAGGGAGTTTAAAATAAGCAAGAAAAATGAGACAAAGGGAAGTGAAGATGGAATGGGAGGTAGAGGTCACTACACAAAAATGAAAGGAGCCCCGGTGGTGCAATGGTTACGTGCTAGGCTGCTAATTAAAAGGTTGGCGGCTTGAACCTACCCAGCGGCTCTGCAGGACAAAGCCCTGGTGATCTGCTCCTGTAAAAATGAGAGCCTAGGAAACCCTGTGGGGCAGTACTACTCTGTCACATGGGGTCACTATGAGTTGAAAATTGACTCGATGGCACCTAACAAATACAAAATGAAAATGGACAGAAGTTCCTGCAGGCAATGGCCTGAGAAACTGAGGTTCCAGGAGGTAAGTGACTTGTCCAAGGTAACTCAGCTAAGCTTTTCATTTGCCTGTAAGCTTCACGGTAGTAAGAGCTGGCAGTCCTGTTGGTTAGGAGAAGCAGCACAACCATTCCTGACTCTGAGATGAAGATGAAATTCCTACTGTGAGAGCTCATGGAGAGGACATGTCATGTGGTAGTTAGTGGCTCCCGTGACATGCATCACAGGGCAGTTTCCCATATGCCTCATCAGTGCAGGCTGACTGCACCCACCAACATGCAGCTCCCCAGGGGTCAGAATATCCAGGTGGGAGTGGGGTAGGGGATGTGGCTCCCCGATGGTGGGGCTTATGCCTGGAACAGTCTCACAGGGTCTGGGTTCTCCGTGAGGTCCCAATCTCTGATTCTCAGCCAGGCTTCTGACTGCAGGCATCTGGGAGATCAAGGTCATGCACCCTGGTGGGGCTCAGGTAGCAGCTGAGTGTGGGCTTAGGCTAGGGAAACCAAGCACTCAGACAGCAGCTGGGCTGGTGCAGTCCTGACATCCACTCAGACAAGGAGACAAACTTAAGTACGGGGCCCAGACTCTTATGCCCCTATCCGCTAGGAGTTCAGGGAGGACAAGGCCAGAGGGCTCTTCACAGTGCGGCCAGGGCCTGTTTTGACCTACACACCCGGGGTGACAGGGCCTCAAGATCTCCACTGACCCTTTGGCCTGGAACATTCTAGAGTAAGTGAATCCAAGCAGCCTCCTTGACCGTCCAAATCTCAGTTCAACCCTGCTGCACACCCAGCTTGCGGGAGTGCTCTGCTGGAGCAGGAAACGGTGCAGCAGACAGGAATCCAGAGCCCTGCTTCTGCAGTCAGACAGACCTGGGTTCACAACTCTGCTCTGCTCTGCGTCCTACATCAAACCAGTTAACATCTCTGTGTCTCAGTTTCCTCCTCTATAAAACAGAGCTAATAATAACACTCAGTTTATGGCATTGCCTGACACATAGGAGGTGCCCAGTAAGTGCTACCAGTTGCTATTACCAGCCTCAGAGATTAACTCTGGAATGTGGCTCAGGGTCACTGTGGAGGAGAAGACTAGGGTGGGGGCAGGAGGAACAAATCTAAATGGTTTGCTGACCAGGATTCTGGTCTGAGAGTAGCTGTGCTGGGTCCTGCCTTCTGGCTGTGAGCAACAGATAGGGCTGGGGCTCTAAAGATGGTCCCTCGGTTGTCATAGAAAAGTGTTACCCACAGATATGGGAGGGTGCAACCTTCTAGCCTCTGCCAAGGCCGGGCAGTGCTGAACTGACCCTCATCCCTGACACAGGAGTCCTGCTCTGTGCACGACCCCCTGGCTTCCCAATAGTTTGTACGTGAGGAACCCTTTCTTCAAGTGAAAGCTTCCAAGGAAGCTCACTAAGCATGGGCTCCAACCCTCCCTGGGTTCAAACCCTTAGCTGGGGGCTTTAGGCAGGTTACCTGACCTCCCGGAGCCTCAGTTTCCTCATCTCTAAAATGGAGATAATAATAACACATCTCTCAAAGGGTTGTTGCTTGGATGTAATGCCTGGCACACAGGAAGTGCTGCTATCATCATGCAAATCATAAAAGCTCAGAGCTGCCCTAGATGTACTGGAATGGCCCTGGATCCCTGCCTGCTCAGCCTTCACATCCCCACCCCCATGTACGGCCGCAGAAGGTGTTCCGGGCAGCGCGGTGTGGAAGCCACATGTCTGGCTCTGCCCTGCATGGGCAGTTTTCTTCCCTCTGGTACCAAAAAGAGGGATCATTCTTTTTCTTCTCTCCCTAGAGCCCACTGCAGGCACAGGGGTGGTCACAGCACTAGGAAAGGGTCCTTTTGCAGGCCAGGCCTGAACAAGGGAACCAGATTCTGGGCCCCAAGGCCTGGGCTGCATCCAGCTCAATCGTGGGTCTATAGGTCAGACCTCAGCTCTTGACCTGGCTCTGCCCTGCCTTAGCCTCAGTTTCCTTGTCTCTGGAATGAGGAGAATGCCTCCCCATGGAGCCCACAGAAGGGGCTCAGCAAGATCTTGCTGGGAGGAGACAGGGCCACTCACCATTGAGTATCGGGGGCGTGGAAGGAGATCCTAAGGGGGATGAGTCATCTGAATCCAGGTACCACGTGGCCTCGTCCATGCGGGACCTTCTCCTGGTGGGGGGGAAGGAACAGAGGGGTGCTGAATCTCAGGACTGTGGGGAGGCAGGTGGTGCTGGGGGGTGGTGAGTACTCAGCCACTCACCTCCCATTCTGGGCTTCTCCAGGCTTGGGGGAGCTGGAGCCCCAGGCCCAGCATGCTCGCCGCTCTCCATTGTTTGAGTCCTCCAGCCGCCGGGGGGACTGGCGGCCCCAAGCCTGGCCAGGCTCTACAGGTTCCACTGTGTGGGGCAGAATGGATGGAGTCTGAGCTGATGTCAGGAGCCCCATCTGTTTCCCCTCCCCCATTACAACAGCCAGGTTCTGTGAGCAAGTGCTTAGAGGGGGAGCCGGTCAGGCCTCATACCTCTCTCAGAGTGGGTCTTGGTTTACAGAGAATCAGGACAGCACTGGGGCGGGGAGGTGGGCTTGGGTCCGGGGGCATCTAGTCTCATCCTTCAGCCCACAGTGGCTGCTTAGTAGTTACTGGAGCAAACTGTCTGGGGGGTAGTTCTGCCTCTGCCATTAATTAGCTGCGTGACACTTACGGAAGCTACTTTTTTCCCTTTTCCCATCTCTAATAATAATAATATCTATCTCACAGGGTTATTGTGAAAAACCACAAAATTAATATTAGCAGAGCGTTTAGGGAAATGAACGACAGTGTCGAACAAGTGTTTGATTAAAATAATGATCAAAATGCTGCTTGGGGGACTCAGGGGCACCAGTATGGAAGGAGAGGGGAAGAAGCCAAGCGGCAGGGAGGAAGGCGCAGACAGTGGGTGAGACCCACCTCAAAGAACAAGGGAAGGGCATGGGGCTCTTACACTGGATGGCCCGGAACCGGGGGAACGTGGGCGAGTCCCCAGCCCCAACCTCAAAGACATTTCTCCTGCGGTCAAGGCCAGGCGACGCCTGCACGGTGATGCGATGCTTGAAGTCTGGGGGTGGGGGGAGCAAGGGGCAGATTTGCGGTGAAGGGGAGTTAGACCTCATCCCGGAGGGGCCTCAGCCGGCTTCCAGGCCATGTGTGACTGGGGCCAGCCCCACTGCCTCCCTGGCTCCCAAAGCGAGCCGGGGGACCCCCACCACCTTGAGAAGCGCGGCCGACAGGAGATGCCTGTGCCGGGCCGCCCCGCCCCTCGGGCTTCCCAGAACTGCCAGGCGCCGCGCCCTTTCCCGCCTACAGCCACTCCCAGACCGATATGCAAATATTTCCGCCTGAACCAGCCCACAGACAGAAAAAACAATCCTGGTCCTACCCCTTCGGCCTTCAGCTCACGGGCCCACCCACCACCACCCTAAACCAATCCCAGAGCGACCAGCCGAAAAGCCTGACCCCACCCCTCTGTTCACGCAGCCAATGGGCCCCGCGGCCCCGCCCTAGAGCGGCCGCAGCCAATGACGGGGCGGCGTGCCTGGGCCGCCCCTTACCGAGTGGCATGCTGATGCGCTCGCCGCCGTCGCGCGCGCGGAGCTTGCTACGCTTGAAGGTGCCGCGGCGGCGGCGCACATGCGGCCGGTCGCGGTCCACCTGCTGCAGCAGCAGCGTCAGCTCGCGCTCGAACACTTCTAGCTCCCACTGCGCCAGCAGGTGCTCGCGCCGCCGCAGCTGCTCCGCCTGTGACCGCTGCTCGCGCGCCGCGCGCGTCAGCTCCTCCTCGCGGCTCAGTAGTTCCTGCGCCCGGGGCATTGCAGACGGTGGGTCAGCCCAGCGCCCCTCACTAACTCTGCCCCATAGAGACCCGGGAGACTCTCCTCCCCAGCGTCTCCTCCCAGCTCCGGAACCCGGACCCATTGCACCTTTTCCTTGGCTCGCAGCTCGTCGAAGAGGCCCTGGATCTCGCGCTTCCAGCCTTCTTGCATGGAATGGAAGGAGTCCCGCGGCATTTCCCGCAGGACCTGCGTTTCCAGCGCCTCCAGCTGCTGCAGGATGGAGGCGAAGTCGGGCCTACGGTGGGGGTCCTGCGCCCAGCAGTCTAGGGGCACGACGTGGGGGGGAGACAATAAGACGGGGTCTGTGGGTGGGTGTGGCCTGGCCCAAGGTGCCCCTCCCCTCCCCGCTGGCCCGCCCCCTTACCGGCCATGAGCTGTGCGAAGGGCTCTGGGCAGGTGGATGGAATGGGCAGCGTAAGCTTGTTAACCGCCACACCGTACGCCACGGCAAGGCAGTCGATGCCACGGTAGGGCACCTCCCCGGTCAGCAGTTCCCACAGCAGCACCCCAAAGCTGTGGGCGAGACAGAAGGTCTGTGTCCCCTTCGCTGCCCACTCATCCTCACTTCACCACAAAGCAGGGGAGGATTAACCAGGAAGCACGGTATGCACCGGCTTACAGCAAGCAAGGTAGCCCGGGCTTAATTGTGGTGAAACCCATGTGAAGTGTGCACTACAGATTAGTAAGCACAATTAAACCCGTGTTTACTTTGCTGACTGGGTAATCCGTCCCTGCCCTAAAGCAACAAGAAGTCAGAAACAGTCCGGGTCCCTCTCCCTGAGCTCAGCCCATCTGCCCAGCCAAGGCTTTGGCAGCCACCTCTGCCCTCTGCAGTCCCATAACTGGCTCTGTCGGGCCCCTGCCCAGGCCGCACCTCCAGACATCGCTGCCCTTCGAGAAGGTGGAGGCCTTGATGACCTCAGGAGCCATCCAGGCATAGGTGCCTGCGGCACTCATTTGCGTGGTTTTGTGCCACTCACGGGCCAGGCCAAAGTCGGTGATCTTCAGGGTCTTGTGCTCCATGTCGTCACCTTCAATGGGCTGCAGCAGCAGAACTGGGGAAGAGGAGGGGCAGGCTGTGGGTGCTTCAGGCTCAGGCGGGGGGCGGAGGGCAGGGGAGGAGCTGACAGACATCCTGGCTGGGTACCAGGGGCACAGAGGTGAAGAGTCTAGACCGTCCCTGGAGAGCTCACAGCTGGGGGTAGGGTAGGAATCAAACAAAAACAATAGAGCTGGGGAAGCTTTCCTGAGGGTCTACTAGAGGCCAGGCTTTTACACACTGTCTCTATGTGGTAGATATTATTACCCTCATTTTAAAGATGATGAAACTGAACAAGGAAGGATTTGGCCAACCAAGGTCACAGCAAGTAAAGCTGAGATCCCAACCAGGTCTGTTGGCTCCAAAGCCAGTGTTCTAACTTCTACCTACAACTGCATTGAATTGGAGCCCTGGTGGCACAGTGGTTAAGAGCTCAGCTGCTAACCAATAGAAACTGAAAATATGGCAGTCTCTTGGCATCTGTGGCTGTGATCATTTACAAGTGATTTCAGGAGAAACTGTACGTGTCTTGTCATTTTGCTGAGGCAGGAGTGTGAGTTAGAACCTTCCACAGGTGAGGAGCAGGAGGGAACCCCTTGGTGAGAAAGAAAGCCCAGCCGGTCCCCCAGTGCCCACATCACATCATGTCTGGTGCAGTCACTCCCGGGGGAAAGACTTGGTTTTTTGGGGGGCTGGGGCCCCAAGAGATATCTACTGATGCAGTTGGCTGGGAAGAGAAAGGGAGGGAGCTAAAAAAGTGATGGTTCTTGGCTAGAAAGGAGGAGCTTGGGACAAACATAGGAGTGGATGGACAGACTTGGCAGCAGCTTGCAGATCTCTGGCCAGGACAAACATGGCTCAGATGAGAGAAGATGTTTTGGAGAAATGGAAAGAGGACAAAATTAGAATCATCAAGGGTCTTAACGGGTACCTCTACCTTTGTGGTTACAGCCGACTGCAAGTGGTATGCAAGTAAACTAGGTTTCAGAACATAGCTGGCACACTCCCAGCTCTCCTGCCCAGGGGGATAGTTCTGTGATGGGGGTCCCACAGGGTGCTGGGGTGGGCAGAGGGGAAGGAAACCTAACACGCCTGTGAGTCAGGGAAGACTTCTCAGAGGAGGTGGCAGAATTAGCCCAGGGCCGGGCCCATCAGAGGCCTCCGGGCCTAAAGCCACAACCCTCTGGCAGAGGGCACCCTGGCCCATACGGGGGCATCTGGCACTGCTGCCCATCCCCTCCCTGCCAGACTCCGTGTGTTGTCTTCCAGGGTCTCCATTTGGGACTCTTTCTGCCTCTCCAGCTGCTACTGCGCTGTATCCTTCAGGGCCTCCTCACCCTTGGCCTTTTCAAGGTTGGTGCTCCTCAGAGCCCAGCCTTCCTCAACCTCCAACCCCTTTCCCTCCAGCTGTCAGCCTCTCCCAGGTGCCTGCTACCCCCTGCCCACCAGCATCCCTACCTCGGGAGCTCTGAGTCAGACATCAGAACCCCCACCAGATGTCCACCCGCCCTCAGTAATCACCTTCATCATCCCACCGCGCCTGGCAAATCTTCCCACAAGTACTCCTAATTCAGGGAATGGCCCTGCAATCCACCCGCTCCTCTCAACCAAACGGGGCTGAGTTCCAAACGGTTAATAAAACTGAGGTTGGCAACAAAACCCATCTCACTGTGTTGTCGTATTAAATGAGATAACGCTCTTTATCATCTTAGCACGGAGTCTGACACTTAGCAGGAACCTAATAAATGCAGTTGCCCCAAAGATTCTGCCGCTAACATCGCTCACATCCACTCCCCTCCATCCTCTATTGCTGCCTTACTTCTGGCTGCACCGCAGCCTCTGCCTGGCTGCTGGAGGCTCAGAACCCGACCACTTACTTAGTAAGCCCTACAGAAGCTTGTTCTAAAGGAGTCCGGGGGCACAGCGGTTAAGCGCTCCACTGCTAACCGAAAGGTCGGCAGTTCGAACCCACCAGCCACTCCTCTGGAGGAAGATATGGTAGTCTGGTTCTGTAAATATGACACCCTTGGAAACCCTATGGGGCAGTTCTACTCTGTTCTATAGGGTTGCTATGAGTCAAAATTGACTCGAGGGCAACGGGTTTGTTTTTTTTTAAGCTCGTTCCAAAGAGGCACCGCAACAGCTGGGTCCTGTGAGTGGAGTTGGACCAGGCAAAGGTGTCTGTGTGCTGGGGTGGGGCACTCCTGCCACCTGTGGTGCCAGGGCTCAGCTGTCCTCTTGAAGACCAAGCCTTGCCACTTCTACTCTGGTCTCCAGCCACTCGTGGTACCCACAGACCAGCGAAGCACTTTCTGCACCAGTATCTCAAGGCTGGAAGGCCAGTCTCCTCCTTTTTCAGTTAGGGACACTGAGGCCCAGAGGAGCATCAACTCACCCAAAGTCTCAGAGCTTCTTGCACTTGCGGCCTTTCTGCTATCTTCTCCAACTCTACCTGACATCTGCTAAGCCTCATCCTCACCTGCATTCTCTTTTCTCCAAGCCCAGCTGCCTGCCCATGCCTTGAATCTGTGCCAACCCAAGTTGCTGTGCTGGTGTCTGATGTAGACCTCAGGGAAGGTCAGGGCCCTCAGAGGGAACAGGGCTGGAGACCAAGACTGGATCCTTGGCTTCTGAAAGGGATCTGGCCCCTCCCGCCAGACTGCCCTCTGTGGGGCTCGGGAGTGGCCTAGGCAGCTCACACTTCTTCCGCTTCCTTCCCATGGGCCCTACTTCTCCTTTCTGGAGGTCTGGCTAGGTCCCCAAATGGGAGGGGGATCCTTTGGGGGAGAATTGGGGGAGGTCAGGCCCAGGCCGGGCTGGCTGGTCAGTCCTGTGACTCGTGGGCCTGGAGAATTCGCCCTCCACTCCCCGCCAGGCCTCCTCACAAGGCCCCCATTGTCCAGGAAAATCACGGCATTGTTTCCTGCTGGGGCCCCCCCAGCCCAGGGACTCCCCCCGCCCCGTCCCACAGACAGCACCGCGGGCCTAGGACTGGGTCTCTGTAAGGTGGCATGCCAGGTTCAGGGAGGCTGCAGCTACCTTGCCTGCCCTCCTCCACCACCACCCAGACTCTGAGGGAAGCAGGGAACTGGGACAAGTGTGGGTGCGATCCCTGGCTTCTTCCTCTCTGGCAAACCCCCCCAACTCTTTCCTCCCCTGCAGGCAGCTGGGCCAGGGAGGGAGCAGGAGCTGGAGCAGGGGCAGGAAGCCGGCTCAGGGGCAGCAGGAAACGCAGGAAGCTGTGGGGAGGGTGGGGAGCAGGGGCCTGGACTATTGTTCCATTTTTTTCTGGAAAGAAATCGGAGGAAAAACATAGGATGGGAGTCCCCTCCCCCCGGCCTTTGGGGAATCCCCCTCAGGCTGGGGCAGGGAGTGGGGTCCCTACATGGCTGGGGCCCATGGGTCAGGCTGAGAGGTACCCCCTACCATGGACTTCTAGCCTAGGATGAGTGCCTGCCCCACCCCACCAACCCTGGCAAGGACCCAGATATCACTGGGTTCTGGTGCTCTGCTCCCCTCAAGCCCCTCATCCATGGTTAGCCAGGCCAGGAGGCTCAAAATATACCCCCACTCAAAAAAAAAAACCAAAAAAACAAAAAACAAGCTTCCATGCCTCTCCAGTGACTCCACCGAGCTCCGGCCCCCTCCTGCATTTTCCACGGCTCTCCAGCCTGTGCCTGGGGCTCCAGCAGGGTCCAGCCCTGGGGGCCCCTCTGCTGGGCTTGGTCCTGCCTTTGTGCCTTTGCTCTTGTCAGGCCCTGCCCGGACATGCTACTGGGTGCTCCTCTAAACTCTGCCTGCTCACAGCCTGGGGTGAAGCTTGCCTCCTTCAGGAAGCCTTCCTGAGCCTACCCCTCGCTTGTCTTGGGCCCATGATGGGGTGAGTGGGTGTCCTGAAATGGCCGTGTCCCCTTAGCCCAGCCACGCCCACGCCAAGCACTGATCCCAGCTAGACCCTCTTGATGATCCAACCCTCAAATGTCTATGCATGGCTGGCTGAGGACCCACTGTGTGCCAAGCAGCACATGCCAGAGCTTGCCTGGTCTGTTAAGCCACTACACCCTCGTGGTCACTCTGGGAGGTATCATTAACCCCATTTTACAGAACCTGAAACTGAGGCTCTGAGTGGAAACAACTAGCTAGAGATCCTGCAGCCGGGAAGGGAGGGGGGCCAGGATCCCAGCCCTGGTCCCCGCTGGTCACCACAGCTTTCCCCTTTGAGCTCTCTGTTCTGGGGGAGCTGCCCATCCTGAGCAAGAGGAGACGGGGCACAAAATTCACAAACAAACTTTAAGGGATGAGGACCCTAGCATCCAGGGACATCCATGAGGTGCTGGCCATGCTTGGGGAAAACGCTAATGGCCCACCTGGAAGATCTAAACATGGCCCAAACTGCAGCTGCGGGCAGGTCAAGGACTCCTGGGACCAGGGCAGGAAGGTGTAACCGATTCTGCTGGGTGTCTGGCTCTGCTCTGGGGGGCCAGTGTGGGCCCTTGGGTACCCTGGATAACTGGGACTCCCCGATGCCTCCAGCAGACCCTCAGATGGGCTCAGCTGAGTGCTGGCAGTAGGTGTGTACCTGGGCCGTGCCCCCCCCAGCCACGCCCCCGGAAACTCACTGTTGTTGGACTTGAGGTCACGGTGGATGACGGGCACCAGGGCCTCGCAGTGCAGGTAGTGCATCCCACGGGCGATCTGCACGGCCCAGTTGACCAGCACTTGAGGTGGTACGCGCCGCCCGGCCAGGGCCCGGCTGAGGGGCCCCCCGGCCGCGTACTCCATCACTAGGCACAGGTTGGGCTCCTCCAGACACACGGCCTTGAGGGCTATGATGTTGGGGTGCGCCAGCATGGCAAAAAGCCGGGCCTCCTGGCGCACGCTCTCAGCCGTCACACTGATGTCCTCATCGGGATCCTGGCGAGCCGCCTTCACGGCCACCAGCTCACCCCGCCAACTGCCACGGTACACCTTGCCGAAGCCCCCAATTCCAATCACCTCCTCCAGCCGCAGCTCCTGGAAGCTGGCTACCTCACAGGGGGGCGGGCCACCACCCCGCGACACATAGTTGGATGGAAAGATGCCCACCTGGTCGCCCACCTGGCCTGCCCACCAGCCCTCATCGCCAGAGATGGCCGCATCCCGGGACAGCACCTCCACTCGGTCGCCCTTCCGCAGGGCCAGTTCATCCTGCCCATTGGGCTCATAGTCGAACAGAGCTGTCCACACAGGGTTGGCATAAGCCGCTGCCTTCGGGGACCCCTCCGGCCGGCCCCCGCCACCACCCCCGCCGCCCCCATTGCCACTGCCATTCCAAGATCCCAGGGGACTCTTGAGGAACAGGCTCTTCAAGGGCTCCATGGCCGGGAGCTGGCGTCCGGGTGTGGGGGGGGACCTTCCCTGTGTGCCCCCGGCCCCCACCCCCGCTGGCTGCCGCGGCCCTAGTCCCGGAACCTGGGCATCCGGGCCTTGGCCCTCAGCCCCAGACCCACGCCCCTCTGGGGAGCCAGGAGTGTCGCCTCCCGGCCCCCCGCATCTCGGGCTTCTGGAGGGGGCGACCCAAGGCACTGCGGTCAGGCCCGGGGGGTGGGGCCCCAGGGCCGCCGGCGCCTCACCATGGCCAGCTCAGAGGTGCCCGCGCTGCTCTTGTCCGAAGCAGTCCTGGGAGCCTGGCTCGGGCGCCCGCCAAGTGTAAAGTGGAGCCCAAGAGGGGCAGCGCCTGGGCTCCGGCTGGGTCCTTCTGCGGAGTGGTGGCGGGAGCGTCGCCAACCCGACCGAGGCTTCCTCCTCCCGGCTTGGATCTCTTGGCCGGACGGCTCCGACCCCGTTCCCTTCTTCCTCCTCCCTTTGTACTTTGGCCCCGGGGGCGGGAGGCAGAGGTGGAGGGTGGAGTTTCACTTTTTTCCGCTCTTCTCCCTCCTGCAGGAAACAGCATCAGATGACGCGGACGGCAGCACCGCTCCCCTCCCGGAGGCTCCGGGCGGCGGGGCCGGGGAAGTTCCTAAGTAGGCGGGCGAGGAGAGAGCAGAGGGAGGGGTAGGGCAGCCCCGGACGCCCATCTCAGCAGGCTTTAGGATCCGGGAAGAAAAGCCCCGGGCTGGCCGCGCCGTTGCCTGGGATGGAGGCTGTCTCTGCCAAGGACGGGTTGTCCCGGGCACTCTGCATCCGCAAAACGGGATGAAGAACCGGATTTGGGAGTGGGGCGAACCTGAGTCTGGTCTTGGCTACCAGGTTGCAGGGTTGTGTGACCCATCCTCTCAAAGCTTCATTCTCTTCTTCTCTGAAATGGGTATAAGAAGCTCGGGTTGGCGGGGGACTTGGGGGGTGGGCTGGAGGAGAGAAGGAACTGGCTGCGCCTCAGGCTCTGGAAGAGGTTGTCTAAGACTCTCGTCTTCTCCCTCACCTGGGAAACAATCCACTTCCCATGCGCTTCCCCAGCGGGCGGAAGCCGGGCACTGTTGTCCCGAATCCTGCCCAGTGACTGGATTCAGAATAGCCGCAGGCTAAGGTTGAGCCTAATTGCCTTGAGCCTGTCACTTTAAGAAAGACGACACGATCCTGTTTTGACTACTCCTGCCTGTGGCAGAGGATCGCTCTCAACACACTATGTCTGAACTCTGACTCGGAAGTAGAGGCTGCTCGCCATTTGAGACACCGTGACGTTAGTGGCCCAGCACTAAAAGGGGCGGGCCGAGAGGGGCGTGCTACGGGAGCGCAGAATTATCGCTGTGGCCCTGGGGAGTCCACGCCTGCACACTTTTCCGCGCCCCCTGTAACTCATTGGAAGAGCTTTACGCCAATTACTCCGCCGCTACCCAGTGTCCAATTATTCCTTCGGTTCCTCCCAGTGGACTTCCCTAGGTTGGCCACGCCTGCGTATGAGCATGCGCTCAATCCCTTCCAGTTTGGGGACCGTCGGGCCCTTAGACTCCGCCCAAAGGGCCCTCCCCGCTTCTCAACTTGCCACCACTATCCTGCGCTTGCGCATTCATGCCGTTAGGCTTTCCTTTTCCGGGTCTCAACTGGGCCCGTCGGCGCATGCGCCACTGCAGGCTGGCGGCTCGCAGCTCCTTCTTCCGGCCTCCCCTTGGGCCAGCACCGGCAGCAGCGGGGCGAGCGCCGAGCCCGAGGCGAGTGACCTGTGACCCCGGAAGTGGACCTCGGGGTCCCGGGGCTCTCCCCGGGCCGGAGCCGAGGGAGCCGTCGCCTCCGCCCCCGGAACACCCACCCCACGCCCACTTCTGTATGCCGCCGGCGGGTGCCCGGCCCGTGCCCTCCGCCCGCCTGCCGGCTCGGCTCCTCGGAGCAGTTCTGGGCCGGGGGTAGGGGCCCGGACCCGCCCCTGATGCGGCCCCACCCCCGCGCCCAGGCCTTGTGCCGCTGACTGCCCCGCAGGCCCCGGCCCCGCCCCCTGTCCGCACCCCTGCCCCACTGACCATTCTCCCCCGCCGGGGGAGGTCATGGCGTGAGCGCGGGGCCAGGCCCCGGGGCCCTCGCGCGCCAAGCGGGGCATGGGCCGGGGGCCGCCCCCATGAGGGTCCCGGGAGGGGAGCGCGCGCAGCAGCGGCGGGGCCATGGGGTCGCAGGTGTTGCAGATCCTGCGCCAGGGGGTGTGGGCCTCGCTCACCGGCGGTTGGTTCTTCGACCCGCACCAGAGTACCTTCTCCAACTGTTTCCACCTCTATGTATGGATCTTCTTGCTCACCTTTCCCTTCTTGCTGTACATGGTGAGACGCCGCCGCTGCCTGGAGCTCCCGCCGGGGAGGGGAGGGCGAGATGGCATGGGAGGGGGCGGCCTGGCAACCTTCAGGGCTGCACCTGGGGCGCTGGGGTGTGGGGAGAGGAATGGCTGCAGAGTTTGGGGGTGTGTGGAGGTGAGGCCAAATTCTTCCTTTTCTGAGCTGGGTGACCTTGAGCCCCTCGCTTAGTCTACCAGTTTCCACTGAAATGGAAAACGGGGTTCTTTGACAGGATTTCTGTGGTAGTTGCACAGCGTGTGAGGAAGTTTTCTTGTGTATTTGTGGACTTAGCCGTGACATGGGTGGTTGGTGTATCCACGGAGGGAGAGGCTGTGCAGGAAGGGGGAAGGGACCTCACCTGCTGCCTGCCTCCAGGTCCTGCCCCCCAGCCTGCTGGTGGCTGGTGTGTACTGCCTTGTGGTGGCTGTCATCTTTGCAACCATCAAGACCGTGAACTATCGGCTACATGCCATGTTTGATCAGGGTGAGATTGTGGAGAAACGCAACTCTACGATGGGAGACCCTGAGGAGGAGCCTGCCCAGGGGGACAGCAGTCCGCCCAGGTGGGTGGAGCAGGGGCTGGATTGGTCCTTGGGTCTGAGCTTTGGAAGATGGTGGAGGGGTTTCTAGAACGTTGGGCAGTTGTTCTGTGGTTGGCTGTGTAATTACAAAGGTTCCCTTGAGAAGGTAGGATCTGTGGGGAAGGGAAGGGGAGTTGTAGATAAAGACGGGAAGTTACATTAGAGCTGCTGTTTTTCACTTCCAGGGACCCAGGAGTGGAGATGACGGTATTTCGGAAAGTGAGTTCCACACCCCCAGTACGCTGCAGCTCCCAGCATTCTGTGTTTGGCTTCAATCAGGTCTCGGTGAGTGGTCCTGGCCCTTAGCCCTCAAACCTTCCCCTTCTCACCCGGGAGGGGGGCCCTACCACAGGTACGTCCTGCACCTACTTCTTTTTCTCTTTGCTCTCTCATGTCTTCCTCTGTCTGCTCAGGAGCTGCTGCCCCGGATGGAAGACTCTGGGCCCCTCAGAGGTAGGTGGGTGCTACTCAGGATGGAGGGTGGGTTGGGGGATGGGATGGCACGTGGGTGCTATGGGGTCTTATTGCTGATGTGTTTGGGGTCACGACTGTAGACATTAAGGAGCTGGTGCGGGAGCAGGGCAGTAACAACGTGATCGTGACCTCAGCCGACCGGGAGATGCTGAAGCTTAGCTCACAGGAGAAACTGAGTGAGTGGACGTGATGGGGCTGGGACTTGCGGGTAACCAGTTATCTTTTCTTTTAGTTGCCCCAACTTCTCCATCCTGGGGCTCCCTGTGTGCTCCTGGATGGGGCCTTGTCAGCCTCTTGCTCAGGCTGAGTTCTCAAGGAAATCAGAGGCCATAAGACCCCTAGCCCACGGTTCATGTTGCAGGCTGCCGTTCTCTCATTCTCCAATCTCTTTTTCTTTGGACAGTTGGAGACCTTCCCCAGACGCCCCCGGGGGCTGCCGCAGACCCCTCCCTCCCCAGCACGGACTCTTCAGAGCATTCTCCCCTGGCTGGCGACGGAGCACCCTGGAGTATGAGCAGCGTGGCTGACACGCCCATGAGCCCCTTACTGAAGGGGAGCCTCAGCCAGGAGCTGAGCAAGAGCTTCCTGACCCTGACCCGGCCTGACCGGGCCCTGGTGCGGACCAGCAGTCGGCGGGATCAACGCCGGGGCTACCAGCCCCTGGACCGGCGGGGCTCGGGCGAGCCCATGCCCCAGAAAGCTGACTCTTCCGATTCCTGCTTCAGCGGCACTGACAGGGAGACGCTGAGCAGCTTCAAAAGTGAGAAGACCAATTCCACTCACCTGGACAGCCCCACGGGTGGGCCGGCCCCCGAGGGCAGTGACACAGACCCACCCTCGGAGGCTGAGCTGCCGGCCTCCCCTGATGCTGGGGTCCCTTCAGACGACACCCTGCGCTCCTTTGACACAGTCATTGGAGCAGGGACGCCACCGGGCCCGGCCGAGCCGCTCCTGGTTGTTAGGCCCAAGGACTTGGCCCTGCTGCGGCCCAGCAAACGGCGGCCACCCATTCGGAGACACTCCCCGCCCAGCCGTGCCCCTCACCGGCCCCTGCTCGAGGGCGGGGGATTCTTTGAGGATGAGGACACCAGCGAGGGGAGCGAGCTGAGCCCGGCGTCCAGCCTGCGCTCACAGCACCGCTACAGCACTGACAGCTCCTCATCCACCTCTTGCTACTCCCCTGAGAGCTCCCGGGGCACGGCAGGGGTGCCCCGGAAGCGGCGGGCCCCCCACGGGGCTGAGGATGGGGCCGCCGTGCCCCCTAAGCGACCCTATGGGACCCAGCGGACTCCCAGCACCGCCAGCGCCAAAACGCATGCCCGGGTGCTAAGCATGGATGGGGCGGGGGGTGATGTTCTCAGGGCCCCCCTGGCTGGCTCCAAGGCTGAGCTGGAGGCCCAGGCGGGGGTGGAGTTGGCCGCTGGGGAATCCACTGTGCTGCCCGCCGAGGCCTGCAGGGGACCCGCTGCCAACCAACCTGGCTGGCGGGGGGAGCTGCAGGAGGAAGGAGCCGTGGGGGGAGGTGAGTAGCGGCCTCGGGTAGAGGAGGCGTGGGGGTTTGGGTTTGGGCAGAGGACACTGGCGTGGAGCCAGTTAGAGTCTGCTTGGCCTGTCTCAGGCAGCAGGTGGCTGAGGGATGTCTGCCCACCCCGTCAAATCAGTAGGGCAGCAGTGATGGGGAGACTGAGGCTGAGACCGCAGGCACTTGGTGCCAGGTTCTGCGGCTAATACACCTGACACCTGGGCCCCAGGAGGACTCCCAGAACCCACAGTCACCCTCTTGGCCCCCATGGCGTTGGGGGGGATGAGTAGTGTTCTGGTTTCCAGATGAGGAAACCAAGGCAGAGAATGGTTTGGGGCGTGGTTGGGCAAAGCCTGAATTGTGGTCCCATACGGGAGTGCCTGCTCCTTGACTCCGAGCCTCTGCCCTTTGGCTGGGACCTCTCTCTGGGCAGCTGCCGAGGAGTCAGGCAAACGGGACCACTCAAGCAACGTGAGGCGGACCCAGGCAATCCGCAGGCGCCACAATGCAGGCAGCAACCCCACACCACCGGCCTCCGTCATGGGTTCACCCCCCAGGTAAATGCCCTGCCAGTGAGTCTGAGGGGGCGGGCAGCTGGCTCTCGGTGATACTGACCATGCTTCCCCCTTCAGCAGCCTGCAGGAGGCTCAGCGGGGCCGGGCAGCCTCTCACTCGCGGGCACTGACGCTGCCCTCTGCCCTGCACTTTGCCTCCTCGCTGCTGCTCACCCGCGCTGGCGCCAACGTGCACGAGGCCTGCACCTTCGACGACACCTCTGAGGGGGCCGTGCACTATTTCTACGACGAGAGTGGTGAGCTCCTCTCTCTCTCTGGGTCCTGGGTCCTGTGTCACAGTGTCTGACTCCAGCTGACCGGAGCCACCTCCATCCCAGCAGCCCCAGTGCCCACTCCCTGAGTGCTGACAGCTCCCGGGCCCTGTGGTGAGCGCTTTCCCTGGGCTGCCGAGTGTCCCCCTTGCAGTTCCTCTGGGGCCTGGGTGTTCTCATCCTTGCTCTGCTGATGAGGAGATGGAAACGCAGCTGGCCGGGGAACTCTCCTGATGTCTCGTGCTGAAGCCCAAGGCGAGCTGACTGCCAGGCTGGGCTCTTGACCCTTAGGCCCACACTTTCCAGCTCTAGGCCCCCGGGGGCTGGGCTGCTGGCCCAGGCACACGGAGCACAGAATTCTTTCTCACCTGCTGGTTCTGATGGCCACGCTGCTCGGGTCTCGGTGCTCCTGTCCCTGACACATTGCATCTTCTCCCCACCTCCGCCCAGGTGTGCGGCGGTCCTACACCTTTGGTCTGGCTGGAGGGGGCTACGAGAACCCCGTAGGGCAGCAGGGGGAGCAGGCAGCCAACGGAGCCTGGTGAGTTGCCAAGCTTGACCTCTCCCGTCTAGTGGCCCAGGGTGCTGCCGTTTCCAGGGAGCACCCCAAGCCTGGTGTTCTTTTCCTGTGCTGCGTTGGGTCCGGGGCAGATCAGAAGCTCTGAAGGGGGATTGGTGGGAGCAGTACAGGGTAGGCCAACGGGTCTCTCAGGTCCCTGGCTTCAGGATACTTCCAGAGGGAGGAAGGCACAGGAGTGGGAGGTGCCTCTGCCCGCCGCTGCCTCTCGACCTCAGTGCTCCCTGTGGGCATTTGGGACAACCTCCGCCTTGGCCCTGGTGCTCACGGCTACCACTCCTACAGGGACCGCCACTCACACTCCTCCAGTTTCCACTCGGCCGATGTCCCTGAGGCAGCAGGTGGTCTGAACCTACTGCAGCCGCGGCCTGTGGTGCTGCAGGGCATGCAGGTGCGGCGGGTGCCGCTGGAGATCCCGGAGGTGAGGAGCGGGACGCACAGTGGGGGCAGCTTGCCGAACTTACCCAGGCACCCGGAGCGGGGCAGTGTCCATTGCTCTGAATGAGGGCTACTGGGTAGGCAGCGTCTGCCCTGACTTTTGGTGGCAGGCAGGGGGTGACAGCCTCATTCAACAAATGTGTGCGGAGTAGCCTCTTTACACTGGAGGAGTTAGAGGTGATGGGGGAGCAATGGGTGTTAGCAACGACGTCTGCGAAGGTTGCGTTTAAGTTTCCTGAGCAGTGACTGCGTGCCAAGCCCCGCCACCCGGGGTTTCCCCTGGTTCCCTCGGTATAAGCGTCGATAATTTTCTTTCACTCCCGGAAGCGTCCTTGCCTAGACTGTCATTCCGTGGTCAGCCTAGTAACGACAGAAGCGCTGACAGTGCGCGAAGCCCAGACTTCGAGCATGAAGGGTAGCCACAGTGGGAGCACCCATGCTGCTAACGAGCCCACAGACACACCCTGGGCAACAGCCTGAAGCCCCTCGTGCCCCTTTCTGCTGCGTTTTTCCTTAATTGTCACACGCGAGTGGCTGCATTGTCCTCGTTACACAGCTGACGGCCATTCCAGAGGGCAGGGGCCTTTTTGGATCCCCCTTGCATCCTCAGAACTCAGCACTGAGCCGGGTCCACAGCGTGTCCCCTGAATATCTGTGGAGTGAAGGGATAAAAGGCCGAGAGTTGGCCCCGGCCTTACAGTGCTGGCTTTAGCACCCTGGCCCGTGAAGTGGTTAGAGTGATGGCAGCTGGCTTGGTCTGGGGGCACATGGGTAGCATCTGCCCAGAGTCCCAAAAGATAAAGTGGTTCTCACCTAGCCCAGGAAGAGGCAGGAGGTTCTGCCTGAATGGAGCAGACAGACACGGGGGTTAGTAAACAACACCTGGGAGCCACCGAGCCGTGGCCTGGGATCCTGAGAAAGGAGTGGGCCCCTGTGATGGAGCTCGAGCAGGTCAGAGGGCCACTAGAGGGCCGCTAGCTGGTGGGCAGAGGGCTTTCTGTGCTGAAGGAAAACGGCCAGCCAGGGCAGCGTGCACTGGGGGGGCGGTGGGGCTGACGGCCACGGCTGTGGGGGCTGCAGTTTGACCTGCCGGACCAGGACTCCCTGCACGAATCCCAGGAGCAGACGCTAATGGAGGAGGCGCCGCCCCGTGCCCAGCACAGCTACAAGTACTGGCTTCTTCCCGGCCGTTGGACCTCTGTGCGCTACGAGCGGCTGGCCCTGCTGGCCCTGCTGGACCGGTGAGTGCCCCACTGGGCCTCAGCCCCCAGCCTCCGGGGCTCCCTGAGCCTGAGGAGCTGTCAGCACCTCAGGACCGGACTGTGGGGAGCTGAGGGTGCATTGGGCTGGTCTGCAGCGGGGTTGCTGTAGGTTTCTCTGGGGGCAGAGGGTGGCAAGTAGGTGGGATTCGAGAAATCCCTCGCCCCCAAGGTCTGCTCAAAGGATTTCTGCTGAGTTCATTGTTTTCATGTGTTTCTGTATTGGACTTGGTTTGAAATTGGGTTTTAGAGCCTAAAAAAGCTAACGAGTCGTTCATCTCACCCTTCCCGTTCCTCAGAGGGGAAGCTGAGACCCAGGGAATTCAGATGACTTTTGTGGTCTGTTGTGGAGGACTTGGGTCTCAAGCCCACGTCCTGGCTTCCTGTTGGTCCTGTGACCTGGTGTCAGTTAGGTGCCATTGTGTGTGATCTGGTGTTGGTCGGGTGCCGGCTGCGTGTGATCTGGTAGGTCGGCTGCCAACTGTGTGTGACCTGGTAGGTCCGGTGGTAACTGTATGTGGCCCTGTCGGTCGGCTGCTGGCTGTGTGGGTCCCGGTTGGTTGGGTGTGAGCTGTGTGTGACCCGGTGGCAGTCGTGTGCCAGCTGCGTGTGACCTGGTAGATCAGATGCTGGCTGTGTGTGGCCTGATTGGTCGGGTGCCGGCTGTGTGTGATCTGGTGTTGGTCAGGTGCTGGCTGTGTGTGGCCTGGTTGGTCAGGTGCCAGCTGTATGCGATCTGGTGCTGGTCAGGTGCTGGCTGTGTGCAATCTGGTGTTGGTCAGGTGCCAGGTGTGTGTGCGATGTGGTGTTGATCGGGTGACAGCTGTGTGTGATCTAGTGTTGGTCAGGTGCTGGCTGTGAGTGATCTGGTGTTAGTCAGGTGCCGGCTGTGTGTGACTTGGTAGATCAGGTGCCGGCTGTGTGTGACCTGGTCTCGGGTGCCGGCTGTGTGTGACCCGGTCATTGGGTGCTGGCTGTGTGTGGCCTGGTTGGTCGGGGTGTCAGCTGTGTGTGACCTGGTTAGTTGGGTGCCGGCTGTGCGTGAGTTGCTTGCCCACTGTGGTGTGCATGATGTCGCCATGTTTGCAGTTACCTGTCAGGCTGAGCTGGAGATGGGAAGTCCCAGAAGCGATGGTGCTTGGAGTCTCAGTATCTGGAGAGGGCAAAGATTGAGAGGCAGGGGAGAAACCAAGATGGCTTCCGGGAGTGCGTGCGTGCTAGGCTTGTCCTTGAGAGCTTGTAGGTTTGGGTATTCAGAGGCTGAGAGGCTGGCCTGGGCAGAGGCCTGGCAGTGGGCCTTTATGGCAGGACCCTGTCTCCCTGCTCCGCCATCATCTCTTGCACCACTCACGGGGTGGGGCAGTGTGTACCTTGACTCAGCTGTCTCTGCAGGACGCGGGGGATGGTGGAGAACATTTTTGGTGTCGGGCTGAGCAGTCTTGTCGCCTTCCTGGGCTACCTGTTGCTGCTCAAGGGCTTCTTCACGGACATCTGGGTCTTCCAGTTCTGCCTGGTCATCGCCTCCTGCCAGTACTCCTTGCTCAAGGTCAGGCTGCCCCCGTCTTCTGCCCCTCCTGCCTCTTTGCAGACTCCCCTTCCCACTCCCCTAGCTTGGAGGTGTGTGAGCTAGAAAGCTAAGATGCTTGAGATCCTTTGTAGCCAACCGCCTATTTTCTAGATAAGAAAACTGAGCCCCAAGATAGTTCAGGCCTTGCCCTGTTCACTCATAGTTGCCCAGTGGTGGCACTGAGCAGGTCCTGGGGCCCTTGACCCTCCTGTGGGCTCGGGCTCTTTGCCAATGTGGCCCCCGTGTCTTCCAGAGCGTCCAGCCTGATGCTGCATCTCCCATGCACGTGAGTACCCACGGGTCAGCCCTCACCAGGAGGCCCCGGCCCTGGGGAGCCAGGAGAGGGCAAGGGCAGGTCTCCTCGCTCTCCATCGCTCTGCTGGGCTCTGTCCCCATCTTGGACCCTGGGACTGGCCAGGGTCGTGGGATGTGTGCACGTCTGGGTGTTTGCACGTGCCGTGCCTGTGGGGGCGCTGGGGGTCCGGCTCCTCACGGTCCGGCTCCCCAGGGCCACAACTGGGTGATTGCGTACAGCCGGCCTGTCTACTTCTGCATCTGTTGCCTGCTCATCTGGCTGCTGGACGCCCTGGGCTCGGCCCAGCCCTTCCCACCTGTCTCCCTCTATGGCCTCACGCTCTTCTCCGCCTCCTTCTTCTTCTGTGCCCGTGACGTGGCCGCTGGTGAGGCTGGGCAGGGCCGGGGTGGCGCGGGAGTGAGGCCCCACGTTGGGCCAGGAGGAGGCAGCAGGCTGACCAGGCCTTCGCCTCTCCCCACCAGTGTTCACCTTGTGCTTCCCGCTCGTCTTCCTCCTGGGCCTCCTGCCCCAGGTCAACACTTGCCTCATGTACCTGCTGGAGCAGATAGATATGCACGGCTTTGGGGGCACAGGTATTGAGCCCACAGAGCTCTGGGGACCAGGGCCTGGTGGGGCCCACAGACTGGACCTGTGGCTCCAGCCTTTGCTGAACTGCTCTCATTTGTCCCAGGGATTCAAGAGCCCTGGGTCTCCAACCTGCTTTAGCAAGTGGTTTAAGTCCGAGAATGCTAGACACCCTGAAAGGGCTGGGGAAGCAGGACTGTGGGGAGCAGAGAGCACTGGGCTGGGGGTGACGTCCAGGGAAGCCTCTGGGAGGTGAGGTGGTGGCAGGACAGGGGTAAGGGGGCATGCTAGCAGGTAAGTACAGGTGAGAGTGGGGTTTTATCTATTTTATCCCACCATGCAGCTGCTACCAGCCCGCTCACCGCGGTCTTCAGCCTCTCCCGCAGTCTGCTGGCTGCTGCCCTGCTCTACGGCTTCTGCCTTGGGGCCATCAAGGTAGGGGGCCTGGGGAATGGGGGCGTGCTGGGGGCCGTGGGAGTGGTTGGGACCGGGCCGTGAGTTGAGCTCAGCTGTTGCTTCTCACTTGGGGGCACCCCCTGCCCCCGCGCTTATCCTCACCTGCCTTGACCAGCATGGGTTCTCTTCCCAGACTCCTTGGCCGGACCAGCACGTCCCCGTCCTCTTTTCAGTCTTCTGTGGCCTCCTGGTGGCGCTGTCTTATCACCTGAGCCGGCAGAGCAGCGACCCCACCGTGCTCTGGTCTGTGCCTGCATGTGCCTGTCTGTGCGTGCTCTGGGGGGCGGTCTGGGTCTGCGCATGTGCCTGTGACCGATGGACCCCGGGGCCTGTGGGAGGAGGGGAGGCCTCTGGGCCCAGACCTGTGACCCTGCGTCACCCACCCCAGGTCACTGATCCGGAGCAAGCTCTTCCCCGAGTTGGAGGAGCGGAGCTTGGAGACGGCCCGGGCTGAGCCCCCAGACCCGCTGCCAGACAAGATGCGCCAGTCGGTGGTAAGCGGGCGGGGTGTGGGGTGGTAAGGGGGCGGAGTATGGGGTTCAAGTGGGGTGGTGGCATGGGAGCTGGGGGTGTGGCCATCCCCGAGGTGGCGGGCACTAAGCTGTCTCTCTCGGGGCTGCAGCGTGAAGTCCTGCACTCGGACCTGGTGATGTGCATGGTGATCGCTGTGCTCACCTTCGCCATCAGCGCCAGCACCGTCTTTATCGCTTTGAAGGTTGGTGTGGTCACCCCCCACCATGGCCTTTCCAGGCACCCGCTTGACTTCAGGGCCCTGGGCAGCCATGGCCCATGCCCAGGCGGCCCTGGGGCTCGGGGCCTGCGCCCCTTGGCTGACTGCCTGGCCTCTCCCTCTCACAGTCGGTGCTGGGATTCGTGCTGTACGCACTGGCTGGGGCCGTGGGCTTCTTCACACATTACCTGCTGCCACAGCTCCGCAAACAGCTGCCCTGGTTCTGCCTCTCGCAGCCTGTGCTGAAGCCGCTGGAGTACAGCCAGTACGAAGTGCGCGGTGAGTGTCCACCCTTGGCTGGGAGCCTCCACGCCCCACACTCCTGCCCCGGCCGCCGGGCCCCCAGGCTGGAGCCAGCCTGAGGAGACGGCCGCCTGAGGAGTGCCAGCAGGAGGCGGTCTCTGCCCATGGTATCCTGTAGGCAGGGGTGCTGGCCCACTAGCCCCTGTTGCCGCTAAGCAGCTCTCAGTGTGCCCCTGCTCAGCCCTGCTCTGCTCGTACCTGGCCTGCTTTGCCCTTTTTCTGTCTTCTTTGCTGTTTCTGAGGAGATGAAAGAAGTAGAATTCCAGCGCTCTGAAGGGACTTCTAAGGAGTCCTGGTGGCACAGGATTAAGTGCTCAGCTGCTAACCGAAAGGTTGCTGGTTCGAACCCACCAGCTGCTCCACAGGAAAAAGACGTGGCAGCACTGTTCTCATAAAGATTAGAGCCTTGGAAATCCTGCGGGGCAGTTCTACTCTGTCCTAGAGGATCGTGGCTATGAGTCAGAATCAACTCGACGGCAGTGGGTCCTTTAAAAGGGACCTTTTGTCAGGAAGAGCAAAGTGGCTCTGCAGACAATGTCTGCCCGGCACATGTCTTCTTTTGGACTATGCAGTAGATAAACTGTGGGCCCACGTTTAACATCTAGATTTGTTACATGAAGATCTCTGTTCCTTTTTTTTTTTTTAAACAATTGACAGATTGTCCCCACTGGGCCAGCCTCCCCACATGGCAGCAACCAGCTGGAGCCCAGTGGCAGTGGCCCCTTCAGGAGGGCCCTGCAACTCTGCTCCTGCGTCCTGGTCCTGCGGTACGTGGCCCTGGCCTGGCTCCTGTGGGCGTTTTAGGCTTCCCTGTCAGCCTTTTTCTTCATAGAGAGCAAAACGAGGCGAAAAGCCCCTGCCCAGAGACCCTGCCAGCTAAGTAGCAGAGGCCTCGATGGCATGTGGAGCCCCGCCCCTGCCCGGGGCATGTTGCCAGAGAGCAACCCCCTGGCGCCCAAAGTCTAGGGACCCAGAACAGCACAGCCTGTGGCTTGGCCACCCTCCTAGGTCCCTCCTGAGAGTGTGTCCATCTGGCCCCACAGCGGCTGGGCTTCAGGGTCCCCAGGAGGGTAGTGCAGAAGGCAGGGTGCTGGCCACAGTCTAGCCTTCTCCTTGCAGGTGCTGCACAGGTGATGTGGTTTGAGAAGCTGTACGCTGGCCTGCAGTGTGTGGAGAAGTACCTCATCTACCCCGCCGTGGTGCTCAATGCCCTCACAGTGGATGCCCACACTGTCATCAGCCACCCGGACAAGTTCTGCCTCTAGTGAGGACTGCCCCCAGCCCCCGCCCGCCTTTACTAGTCCTCGGGTCACTGCAACACATAGGGAAACTGAGGACCAGAGAAGGCATGAGACCCACCTAAAGTTGCCCAGCGAGCTACAGTAGAACCCCAGGTTCCTGACGCTTCTTACTGAAGCCATTGTTTCTTTCAAAGCAAATGTGCCTGCTTTTACCTTCTGTTGGGGGGTGCAGAGATGAGGAGTCCCTGGCCTGAAAGCAGGGGCAGCCCAGCAGAGCCCAGGCTAGGTTTCTGTTGGGCCAGGGCAGTTGAGGAGTGGGGCACCCAGCCCCTTGCTTCCCTACCTTCCACGGCCCCTAATGCCTGACCTTCACCCCCAGCTGCCGGGCACTGCTGATGACTGTGGCTGGGCTGAAGCTGCTGCGCTCAGCCTTCTGCTGCCCACCCCAGCAGTACCTGACTTTGGCCTTCACCGTCCTGCTCTTCCACTTCGACTACCCGCGCCTTTCCCAGGGGTTTCTGCTCGACTACTTCCTCATGTCCTTGCTCTGCAGCAAGGTGAGCTGTGCGCAGCCCAGACCCTAGAGTGTGGGACTGCAGAAGAGCTCTTCTGCCCCCTTGTGTTGGGGGAGACCCTCCGCAGGCCCTGTGGCCTGGCGGCCGCTGCTGGTGTGAGCCTCGCCTGGGCCCATGCAGCAGCTCTGTGGGTGGATAGCCGCCATCCTCTCAGAGGACATGGAAGCTTCAAGAGGTTCAGCCACCTGCCTCAGGGCTTCGGGATTTGAGCCAAGGCCTGTCTGACCCCAAAGCCATCTCTCTGGATCACTGCCCTGACCACTTTCTTCATCAGCTGTTAGAACAGTCAGGACGGGCCTTGTCTTCTGGGTGCCAGCCTCTGAGCTCTGCCGCCACTGTCATGGCCCTTTGGGGCTCTGCCCACCTGCAGGCTATGGGGTTCCCTGATTGGGGCTGGGGCCACTTTGGACAAAGGGCCATGACCCACATTTCTGGAGGCACGCAGTAGTGCCGGGGACCCCGGTGCAGGCCTGGGCTTTTCGCTCACTCAGGCGGGCTTTCTCTTCTAGTTTTCTGACTGGCCTAGGAGGGTGGAGACCCGACTGTGTTTTCTCTAGGCCAGGGCCTGTGATTGTCCCTTGATTTTCAGTACCACTAACTGAGTGGCATGACTTGGGGAAGTAATGTATCTTCTCTGCCTTCACCGAATTTCAACTTCCTTGTCCGTAAAATGGGCATAATAGGGCCCTCCGAGGGTGGTGGTGAGGATTAAATGGCTAGTACTAAGAGGGTCATTCAGTCTGGGATTGTTAATGGTATTTGGTTTCTGGAGCCAGGTCCACAGAAAGAGGGCTAAGCATGATCTTGAGCTTGACCTTCTTGTGGGCGGCCAGCGGGTAGCCTGGGAGCAGGGCTCTGTGTGGTCCCTAGGGCTCTGAATGGGCCTGGAATCGGGGATGTTGGCAGAGCCCACTTCCATGAGCAACCCTGGTGTCTTTATCTCCTTCTCTCCTGCCAGCTATGGGACCTGCTGTACAAGCTGCGTTTTGTGCTGACCTACATCGCGCCCTGGCAGATCACCTGGGGCTCGGCCTTCCATGCTTTTGCCCAGCCCTTCGCTGTGCCACGTACCCAGCCCAGCCCTGCTGTTGGGGCTGGGGTACAGGGAGGGCAATGGTCTAGGGAGGGCGGGCAGGATGGGGCGGGGCAGGCAGGGGTCAAAGGGCAGGGAGGGTGGCTGGAGGGTCCTGCATGCCTACTGCCTCCTTGACTCGTGCCCAGACTCGGCCATGCTGTTCGTCCAGGCCCTGCTCTCGGCGCTCTTCTCCACTCCGCTCAACCCCCTGCTGGGCAGTGCTGTCTTCATCATGTCCTACGCGCGGCCCCTGAAGTTCTGGGAGCGCGACTACAAGTAAGTCCCCCAGGGACAGGGTGGGCGTGGTACCCCAAGGGACCCTGCGTGGAGCAGGCCTGCCAGGTGGGAGGGGTGTGGGAGGAAGGAAATTCCGGCTGGGCAGGGCCTTGGAAGGGGCCAGCAGTGGGCGTGTGAGGCTTCGGCATGGCAGGGACACTTGAGGTGGAGGGATCCGAGGGGGCAAACTCAGCAGGTCCAAGCTTCAGGCTCACCCCAGAGGCAGTCGGGCCTCGTGTGGTTCTGGGTGAGTCCCCTGTGTCATGTCTCAGCCTTCTCGTCTGGGTAAGGGGCTGTCCTGGCAGCTGCTTCACAGCATGGGGTGTGGGCTGCAGAGAACTTGGGTAGAGCAGGGGCAGAGAGGAAGTGGGGTCAGGGTGGCAGGACTGTCACCTGACCTGGCAGCCTCACCGTCACCACAACCGTGCTGTGCCTCCCTGCTCCCTGAATAGCACTAAACGTGTGGATCATTCCAACACCCGCCTGGTCACACAGCTGGACCGGAACCCCGGTGGGTACTCAGCCATCCAGGGGGCTCTGGGATGGGGCCTTCCCCGGGGACAGAGCTTTGCTCATTTGTCACTTTGTCCGTCTGTCTCTGTCTGCCCCGGGCCCCAGGCGCGGACGACAACAACCTCAACTCCATCTTTTACGAGCACTTGACACGCTCGCTGCAGCACACACTGTGTGGGGACCTGGTGCTGGGCCGCTGGGGCAACTACAGCCCCGGAGACTGCTTCGTCCTGGCTTCTGACTACCTCAACGCCCTGGTGCACCTCATCGAGGTCGGCAATGGTCTCGTCACCTTCCAGCTGCGTGGTCTGGAGTTCCGGGGTGAGCGCAGGGCCGAGCTCGGGCAGCAGGTGGGGTTGGGGCCCTGTGCAGGTGCTATGTGTCACGGTGTGTGATGCTGGAGTCGTGTCCAGCCAGCTCTGGCCTGCCGGTGGCCTAAGGCAGGGCCCTCTCCGCCCCGGGCTCCCAGTCTGAACAGTGAGGTGGGGGCTCTTGGCTGAGCCCTGACCCTGCCCTGACTTGGGTCCGTCGTGACTGCCCAGGTTGTCATGGTGAAGGCTTGGCCTGGAGCTCTGGGGTCTCATGGCAACCCTCACCGGCCTGCTCTCTGCTCAGGCACAACCCCCTGGTGCGTGAGCCAGCGCTTCACCTTCAGGGAAGACGTACGTGTCAGCTGCCCACTTCTGAAAGGGCAGAAGGCTCTGAGCACAGCTCGTGAGTGCCATGACCTTGAGCAAGTCACTTCTCTTTGAGCTTCAGTTGCAACCCCTACAGACGAAGGACCACATCTCCCCTGCCACATGGCTGCTTGCTGACTCGTGTTAATCCACTCACTGAGTCATGTTCACTGCCCACCTGATGTGGCTGAGTGCGGGCTCAGCGCCGGGGACAGGAGCCGAGGAAGGGGGCTTACAGCCTAGCGGAAAGACTTACGTTAGAAAGGATTCCACAGAAAAGTACCATAGCAGGTGCAGAGGAGAGGCACCTGGTACTGAGTCCCCCCCCGAGAGGAGATGTGACTTCGTCGGGGCACCAGGAAGGCTTTCTTGAGGAGTTGATAGTGGAGCTAAAGGCTGAAGGATGAGCAGGGGAGGGAGAAGAATATTCCCGCTGAGTGAGCAGCATGTGGATGGGCCCGGGGCAGGAGAGACTGGGAGGAGTGTGGTGAGAGGTGAGGCTAGACGGGTGGGCTGGGCCTGTGCCTCACAGGGCTGGGGGCTGTGGGCCTCAGGAAAAGCTGCGCCTTGAGTGACTCTTAAGGAGAGGGGAGCTTTGGGAGCAGGAATGAGCCTCCCACTCGGGAGCACAGGTGTTATAGGGGCCAGAGGGTGGGAGTCCTCATGGTGCAAGCTGTAGCCCAGCTGAAGCCGGGGCTTGACTTCCTCTGGCCAGGAGAGGCCAGCGAGGTGTCCCCTGGGGCCTAGCCCAGGGCCTGAGGCTGAAGAGATGGAGGTGGAGGTGGAAGTGGGGCCGAGCCATGGAAACAAGGACGGGCTAGCTGCCGGCATCACTGAGTACTTAGACAAGCCAGGCAGTAGGTCAGGTACTTAACGTCACGCCGTCTCACCTAATCCTCCCCATGACCTTGGAGGGGAGTGACACTCCCCTTTTGCAAATGAGGAAGCTGAGGTGCAGAGAGGCCGTGTAGCTTACCCAAGATCACACAGTGCAAAACTAAGAGCCGGATCGGAGGTTGGAGCCCAGAGAGCCTGACTGGGGCAAGTGTGTGTCTTCTCTGCTCTCCTGCCTGGGAGCCCTGGAGGAGGGAGGCCGAGTCCTCTTGGGGAAGGGCCCAGAACATTAAGCCACTTGGCCCGGCTCACACAGAGTCTTGGGGTACAGAGTGGATGGCGGGAGGCCTCGAATGCCATGCTGAGGTACCCACCAGGCAGGCAGGTGTCTCCTTTTGGCCCCTGACTGGGCCCCCTCCCCCCCAGGCACGTACTGCCAGCAGCGTGAGGTGGAGGCCATCACGGAGGGCGTGGAGGAGGATGAAGGCTGCTGCTGCTGTGAGCCAGGCCACCTGCCGCGGGTCCTGTCCTTCAATGCCGCCTTCGGGCAGCGCTGGCTGGCCTGGGAGGTGACGGCCAGCAAGTACGTGCTGGAGGGCTACAGCATCAGCGACAACAATGCTGCCTCTATGCTGCAGGTCTTTGACCTCCGCAAGATCCTCATCACCTACTACGTCAAGGTAGGGCAGCGGGAGCGCGCCTGCCCACCCTGAGCGTCGGTTTTGTCCAAGGGAAGTGAAGGCCTCAGAGTTGAAACGTCCTTCATGGTGCCCTCTCCTGACTGGCCACAGGGGCCCCAGTGGCTCGTGCGCTCTGATGATGGGGTGCCTAGGGTCAGGGGCTCCCATTACCCAAGGAGGCTTGCCTGAGGCGGTGAGCACTGGGGGCAGGTGGCATCGCATCTGTGGTCCCTCGGCCAGGCTGCTGGTGCAGGAGGGCAGCTGTTGAGGCCAGCCTTGCAGACACCGCCCACACCGCACGCGGCATTGTCAAGACATGACGATGACGGTGACAGTGATGGTGTGAATAGAGAGTATAGGAGCAGCTGTGCACCCCTGGTGCTTGCCGTGGGGCGTGCTGTGGTCTAAGCCCCTCCTGGCCTCCCAGAGGCCCTGCCTGTCACAGGTGTGGAGGAGACTGGCTGGCAGTTGTCGTTAGGTGTGGTTGGGTTGGTTCCAGCTCCTAGCGGCCCTGGGTACAACAGAACGAAACACTGCCCCATCCTGCGCCATCCTCACAATCGTTGCTATGTTTGAGCCCATTGTTGCAGCCACTGCATCAGGCCATCCTCACAATCGTTGCTATGTTTGAGCCCATTGTTGCAGCCACTGTGTCAGTCCATCTCATTGAGGGTCTTCCTGTGTTTCACTGACCCTCTAGTAAGCATAATATCCTTCTCTAGGGATTGGTATCTCCTGAGAACATGTCCAAAGTATGTGAGACGAAGTCTTGCCATCCTTGTTTTTAGGGAGCGTTCTGGCTGTACTTCTTCCAAGACAGGTTTGTCTGTTCCCTAGGCAGTGCGTAGTATATTCGGTATTCTCTGCCAGCATTATAACTCAAAAGCATCAGTTTTCCTTTGGTGTTCCTTCCTCATCGTGCAGCTTCCGCGTGCACATGAGGCCACTGAAAACACCACGGCTTGGGGCACGTGCGCCTGAGTTCTTCCAGAGGTGGAGGGATGTGCCTGAGGCCCTGAATTAGGAGAAAGTGGCAGAGTCAGCCTTGAACGCAGACCCACCAACTCAGCCCCTGGGCTTCCTCCCTCAGCCTGGGGCTCCAAGCCAGCCTGAGGGTCTCAGACCTCTTGGGGGGCAAGGTTGATGAGGTACAGTGGGGGACCCAGAAAGAGCCTTGGACTAGGGGCTTTTTTCCCCAGTGGGGCATCCTGGGAAAGTACTCCCTTTGCTGAGCCTCAGTTTACCCCTGTGAAAAACAGGGATGGTTGCATTCTGTGAGATGGCAGGGCCAATGAGGCTTCGTGCCCCCAGGGTGAGGGCACTGTGGGAGTTGGGTGGGGGGGGGGTGATCAGTCCAGGCCCCCGTACACCTTCTTAGCATTGCATTGGGGCTCCCCATGTGGGGCCTGGAGGGCTGACCTGTTGGGGCTCCGGTGAGCCCACCTGCTTGGGCGTCTCTCTGGGACCATCCTACGCACCCCTGGCTGTCACTTTACTTCCCGAGGACATCCCATCCATGTCACACAGTAATTTCTCCCTCATTCCTCTGTCTTCCAACCACTCTTGGGGGGGGCTTGTGGTCCCCACACTCCCACTTCACCAAGAAGGAGGCTCTGGTCAGAGAGGGACACTCCCAGCCCCCAGTCACCCAGGGGTCATCGCCTGCCCACCCTCACCCATCTCAAGAGAGGTGTGCTCTTGGCGTGGGTCACCCTGCCTGCCACAAGCCCCACTTCAGGCCAGTGTCCCCTCATTAATGGGCCCCAGGTACCCAGCCAGGGTATTGTCCTGTGGGGAGGCAGACTGAGACGTTGCTGAGGGCGAGGGCTGGACACCTGCAGGTGAAGACACGGAGAGTGGGGTGAAGTTTGAAGCAGAGGTGGGGGCTGTGAGGTGGAGCCTGGGGAGGCATGTGGGAGCACTGTGGACCTGGGGCAGTGTGGCAGAGGTGTGTGTGCCCCTTCTAGGCAGGCAGCCTCATGCCCTCACCAGGCCCCTTGGCACCTTGCCCTCTGCCCAGGAGTCACTAAGCACAGTTGGGTTAGGCTCGGTCACACATCTGTGGCCACAGAGACACTAGCCTCAACATCCACCTGCAGCCAGGCCTTGGCACTCTTGGCGTCCCCTCCACTTCCCCCGGCCCAGGCATGGTCCTTACCATGTTGATCTCTCAGTAGCCCTTGGAAGAGGCAGGGCCGTGTCACTGGCCCCTTGTACAGCTAAGGAAAACGAGGCTCAGCCCCGTGGCTGCAGTCAGGTGTGGATGAGAGCAGAACCAACTGCCACCAAGCCTGGGCTGGTGCTGGAATCCCGGCTCCACCTCCCTGTCCCTGGCCTCTGCCTGGGTCTCCCCTTCCTCCTGTGGGCACTGCTGATCCCACAGAACTCCCTCACACCTCGAGGGAGAAGACGTTGACCACCAGGGGAGAGGATACGTGGTTGTGCTACCTGCCCGCAGGGAGCCTCGGGCAGAGTCTGGCCTCTGAGCCTCTGTTGCCTCACTTGTGAGTTGGAACTCTAAGAGGGTGGGTGTGAGGAGTAACCAGAGCCGTCCACTCGGGACCCTCTGAACAGAGCCCGGTTGGCAGCCTTGGTCGGGTCTACCTTTTTCTCCTGGAATCTTCCTGCCGCACTGTCCCAGGATAACCCGTCTCAGAACGACAGCGTTGGCGAAAGCTTATCAAGCACAGTGTGTGCCAGGCTGGCTCCCTGGCCCCTCAGGTTTTCTGGATCGTCTTGGGGGCTGTGGTGGGGCCTGGACAAGAAGGGCAGGCTGGAGCTGCTCCCTGGCCATTCTGTTCTACTCACCCCCACTCACCTCTGGTCCCCCTGCCTCTCAGTAAGGGACAGCCCAGCCCTCCCCTTCCCAGGCTAGGCACCCACCTGCCCGTGGCCAAGGTGGCGCTGGGGCTGCCAGGCAAGCTCCCACGTGTAGGAACTGATGGGGCCCACCTTGCAGCCATCCCGCCATGGCCCCCAGGAGCTGTTTGAGCCCCCCGCCAGCTCTTCCAGCTTGCACCCTGGTCATTTTGTCCAGGCTCTTGGCCCCTCCACACCCTTGCTGGCCCCCTGATGGGCTGGGTGCTGTCCCCTTGTTGCCAGCTGTGTCCCCTCCCCAGCCCTGGACTTCCACACCTCTCACCCAGGCGGAGAGCCAGCTCCTCTGCTCCATCCTGGGGTGGCACACAGGATCCCAGTTACCTTGCTGGCCGCCAGCTGCCAGCCCTACACATCTGTCCATCCTGGCTGCACCAGCTCCTCATCTTCAAGCGCACCTCTCCACTTCCCCACGTCCTGCTTAGAAGCCCGCAGGGGCTCTTAAGAGGGGACCCAGGGGCGGTGAAGGGCTACTGGCCTACAGGCAGCCCTTCTCCCTCAGCCACCCTTTCTGGGCCCTGGAGGTCTGAAGCCCACAGAGTCATGGTGCTGACAGTCCCAGGGCCTGAGCCCCACTGCCCTGCTGTGTGACTGGGGCAGGTCTGTCATCTCTCTGAGCCTCAGCGTTCCTTACTGACGGGGACCTTCCTGGGTGGTGTGAGTATCACGCACGTGCTGTGTGAGGCCCGTGCCACAGGCCAGGACCCTCTGTGGATGCAGCTCTCAGGCCTCCTTCCTGGCCCGGGGTGAGGAGCAAGTGCCCTTGTGGCTTCAGGGAGCTGAAGTGGGACCGACAGAGTGGACATCCTAGGGGAGAAGCCTCTACCCTGAAGCTGTCTCCTCCAGAAGCCAGGGTCAGTGAGAAGTGCCATTGGCCCCAGGGCCCAGCGCTGTCCCCAGTCCTGAACCTGCCATTCTCTCCAGAGCATCATCTATTACGTGAGTCGCTCGCCGAAGCTGGAGGCGTGGCTGAGCCACGAGGGCATTGCAGCGGCTCTGCGGCCCGTGCGGGCGCCTGGCTATGCCGACTCGGACCCCACCTTCTCACTGAGCGTGGATGAGGACTATGACCTGCGGCTCTCAGGCCTCTCGCTGCCCTCTTTCTGTGCGGTGCACCTCGAGTGGATCCAGCACTGCGCCTCCCGGCGCGGCCAGGTCCGCCACCACTCCTGGGGCTGCCCACCTGGTTCCGGGGACCTGGGTGCATCCCCTTCCATTCCTCACCCTTCCTGGGTGGGCGCCCCCATCCTGACCCTCCCCTGGCTTGAGCCCCAGCCCCACCCCCAGTTCCCTGCCCCAGGTCTGAGCCAGGCTCTGGGGATGGGGTCCCTGTTTCACAGCCCATGGACCAGGACTGGAACTCGCCGCTGGTCACGCTGTGTTTTGGTCTGTGTGTGCTGGGCCGTCGGGCCCTGGGGACGGCCTCACACAGTATGTCTGCCAGGTGGGTGCCCACAGGTCCAGCCAGGCCTGGTGCTTTCCCCTCCCCACTCCGTGAGGAGCTCTGGGCCACCCCTCTCGGCCTGGAGCCCTACATCCCCACCCCCTCCACCTCTCCTCTCCTCTTCCTCTCTACATCTCCTCACCTCCCCCAACCTCGCCTCACCTCTCCCCTACTTCTCCTC